TAACTCCCGAGACATCCGCAACCAGAACCACGAACGCCCAACTAGGAGGACCAGGATCTGATGTGTTGCTGGAGTCGTGCAGGTGGGACTGACAGCCGCCAGAGCCGCCCGCGTAGACTTGCATGCTCCTCCATGAAGACAAGTCCTCAAGTGAAGATGAAGTAGGCATGGCCTGGACCGTGGAAGCGCGCAGAAAAGGACCTATGCTGAGAACGCCCCAGGATTGCTGAAAGCCCCATGGAGAAAGCAGCCCGCTGAGAAACTCAGTGCTGTCAGGTAAGGGACTATACCTGCAACCTTTGATGGGTTCCACCGGATCTGAAATAGGTGCACCTGGCGCTGGAGCCAGCTGGGGCTGGGAAAGGTAATCCCTGACGTCCTGATTGTAGTCATCATCGCACCAGCTGGCTATTGACCCCCCATCACCGTGACTTCTGCTGGTGTGGCTGGCGTGTCCTCGGCGATGGCCTGAGACTTGTGGGGTGGTTCGTCTTCGTGAAGAAGATATGCTGCCGTGCGAGCTGATCCTTTTTGCTGCGCCTGCTGAAACACGTTGGATCACTTCTGCTGACCAGGCATATTTCCCGCTGCATGCTGCCATGCTGGAGACTTGGTTCTCCCAGAGGCTGCTCCCGTGCTTGAACGTAGTGCTGCCAGTTCTGCGGGGCTGAGATCGGGTAAACTGTCCCCAGCTGGGCTGTTGGAGCCTGCGAGGACCGCAGTGGCCTTTTGCAGGATGGCCTCCTGCGCAGAGCGCGGAGACTGCGAATGTGGTGCGACTGATGGGGAACTGGCCGTGGTCAACGTAGACAATGACTGCTGAATTGACATGGGAGCCTGGCTGAGCATATCCATTTGTGATGTGAGCTGCGCCTGACCCGACTGCAACTCGGCAATGATCCTGGGCACCGCAACGGGCTGGCCAGAAGCTGGGGAAGAGGGAGTGGCCGTAGGCGAACGAGCATACGGGGAAGATGTGGCAACGCCTGAGTCGACCTCCATGCTGTCGGCGGCGAAATGAACTCCTTTGGGCATGCTTGGTGTAGACAATGCACGTGTTGCTGCCGCTGCTGCTGCTGCTGCTGCTGCCGCCTCTGCCAACTGCTCCTCCTGTAATTGAAGGGCCTTGAAATAGCTTAGTATATGTTGCGCGTGCTCGGCGTCTGCTTGAAGCGCCTCTCTGGCAGCAGTCGCTTTGGTCATAGCTAACTTCGTTTCTTCCTCTGCCATACGTGCGTCTGCCAATCTCTTCTGCGCTCTCTCCAACTATTTCTCTTGGTTGCCAACACGATCGCGGGCTGAGAAAGCATGAATGTGCATGTACATGTACACTGCATACTCGAGTTCCAGAGGTTGAAGCATCTCTGACGTGGCTGCCAAGGCTTCTTTGTCTCCAAGGCTGAGAGGGTGGCTTTGATTTGACCTCGGTGTTCGGCAAGCTCCTTGGTGCCAGTCGGCGGGTCCACCCAGCTGGGGTGGGCCTTGGCGACCTCTGGAGTCGCTGGCAGGATGGTAAGAGAAATTGGCTGAGAGGCTGCTGGTGGCGTAGAGGGTGCTCGCCCGCTTCCTGCACTGGGGGGGGTAGCATCTGACTGTGACTGGCCTGCTCTCGACGCCGACGATGACCTCTGTCTGCGCGGCAATGAGCGACCTCTGTGGCGACCCCTTGGCATAGGGAAGCAGCGCGCACACCAACGAGAGGATGACCAGTTGGTAGAGCCACAGTGTCCGCAGGTCCAATTGCCTCCTGTGGGCGTCGACCATGGTGGAACACTGGCTGGAGGGTCTGCTGGCATGGCGCTGTGATGAGCTGAAATCAATGACCGCGCTGCGCTGACCCTGAGTAATGTATGGGCTTGGCTGCGAGCCGCCCTGGCCCTGCGATGCCAAGCTGGCTCTGGCGAACGTAGTGACCGAATGCTGACCGCGAGGCGCCGCCTGTCGCCCTGCGGCTGGGGCTGCAAGCGCTCGCTGGAGCGTCGCTGCCCGCGACGAAGCACGGCTAGCCCGCTGCCAATGGCGGCGGCGGGCCTGCACGTTGCCGATGTCCCGAGGGGCGCGCAACTACGGGGTAGCTGCACCCAAAGCCCCTGAGCCGGGACGGCGGCTCGGCAACGACGAGGGAGGAGGGAGGACGGGGACGACGCGAACGACGAAGAAGGAGGAAGGACGGCGACGCCGACGACGACAACGACGAGGGAGGAGGGAAAAAGACGACGACAACGACGACGACGACGACGACGGCGACGAAATAGGAGGGACGACGACGAGACGCCGACGACGGACGACGACGACGACGACGAGGGAGGAGGAGGAAGGACGACCACGGCGACAACGACGACGGAAACGACCACGACGCCAAAGAGGACGACGACGACGAACACGAGGAAAGACAGAAGACGACGTAGGCGACGACGACGACGACGACGCGGGAGGAGGGAGGACGGCGACGACGACAACGACGACGACGACGACGACGACGACGACGCAAGAGCGCGCGCGCACGCTTTTGTTGAAAATCCGTGTTGCGAAATCATGTGTTTTTGTAGGTTTTTTGGACACACGATTTTGAACTCCTTCCGAAACCGATGGGTTTTGAAGGTTTTCGGCATACGCGCGCGACGACGCGCGCGTCTGCACTTCGCCCCATTTTTGCAAGGGATTCGTGGAAAAGTGCTATGTTAGAACAACAAATGTCACCGCATAGTGCTTTTGACAAAGGAACCTCAATGGGGGATACCGGTTGGCCTGGGATATTGTGATTTCATATTTAGGATGGACATGTGGTCAGAATCATATACGGTTTACACACCGTTTTTAGAACGGAGAACTCACCCTGCCGAACTTGAAGTTGTCGACTCCACTGCTAGCGCTATCGTCCCCACCCACCCACCCGCAACTTGGTTTGCAAAACCCATGCGCTGGCGATTGCGCTGGCTGGAGTGTTTGGTGTTGGCCTGTGCATCTCTGCGGCCGCGCTAGCCCGCGCATGCTCGCGCGCGCAACGGCCTCCTCCTCCTCCTCCTCCTCCTCCTCCTGCTCCCTCCTCCTCCCCCTCCGCCTCCCCCTCCTCCCCCTCCCCTCCTCCTCCTCCTCCTCCTCCTCCACCACCACCACCACCTCCTCCTCCTCCTCCTCCTCCTCCTCCTCCTCCTCCTCCTCCTCCTCCTCCTCCTCTCCTCTCCTCCTCCTTCCTCCTCCTCCTCCTCCTCCTCCTCCTCCTCCTCCTCCTTCTACACCTCCTCCTCCTCCTCCTCCTCCTCCTCCTCTTCCTCCTTCTCTTCATCATCCACCTATTCCTCATCGTCCATCCGCAGTCCTCCCCCCCTTCCCCTGCTCCTGCACCTGCTCCTGCTCCTGCTCCTGCTCCTCCTCCTTCTCCTCCTCCTCCTCCTCCTCCTCATCATCATCATCCTCTTCCATCCTCCCCCTACGACGGCTTCCCAAACCCACGTTTAAGGCAACTCGCCCCCTGGCAACTCGCCGTGTCGCTCGTCACCGTGTCGTGTCTTCGTCTGGCCCCGTCTGCGCCAGACAATTACCCTGGCGACGTACCCAACCCCTGCGCAAACGCGGGGCGCAAATAGTTAGGACACTTTATAAGGGAGGCGATGACGGAGCGAGGGTTACATATGTCTGCAGACGGAATTCGGGAGACTCGCAGGACACTGGCTACAGGACAAGGACTAAATAAAGCTGATTAGTTACAATCCCTGAGCAACCCTAGCCACTTCGAAAGCGGTGATCTCAGATCGCAGCCCCCCAGGGATGGCGAGGTCTAATTTGGGTCCGCGCGTGGCGTCACTGCGCTGGGCCCCCCAGCAGGCCTCGAAAGTGGCGACAGTTTCACAGATCGCATCCCCCCAGGGATGGCGAGGTCTAATTTGAATCCGCCCGTGGCGTCACTGTGCTGGGCCCCCCAGCAGGCCTCGAAAGTGGCGACAGTTTCACAGATCGCAGCCCCCCAGGGATGGCGAGGTCTAATTTGAATCCGCGCGTGGCGTCACTGTGCTGGGCCCCCCAGCAGGCCTCGAAAGTGGCGACAGTTTCACAGATCGCAGCCCCCCAGGGATGGCGAGGTCTAATTTGGGTCCGCCCGGCGTCACTGTGCTGGGCCCCCCAGCAGGCCTCGAAAGTGGCGACAGTTTCACAGATCGCAGCCCCCCAGGGATGGCGAGGTCTAATTTGAATCCGCCGTGGCGTCACTGTGCTGGGCCCCCCAGCAGGCCTCGAAAGTGGCGACAGTTTCACAGATCGCAGCCCCCCAGGGATGGCGAGGTCTAATTTGGGTCCGCCCGTGGCGTCACTGTGCTGGGCCCCCCAGCAGGCCTCGAAAGTGGCGACAGTTTCACAGATCGCAGCCCCCCAGGGATGGCGAGGTCTAATTTGAATCCGCCCGTGGCGTCACTGTGCTGGGCCCCCCAGCAGGCCTCGAAAGTGGCGACAGTTTCACAGATCGCAGCCCCCCAGGGATGGCGAGGTCTAATTTGAATCCGCCCGTGGCGTCACTGTGCTGGGCCCCCCAGCAGGCCTCGAAAGTGGCGACAGATCGCAGCCCCCCCGACACACTGATCGAAAGTGGCGACAGTTTCCAGATCGCAGCCCCCCAGGGATGGCGAGGTCTAATTTGAATCCGCCCGTGGCGTCGACTGTGTGGGCCCCCCCACAGCAGCCTCGAAAATGGCGACAGTTTCACAGATCGCAGCCCCCCAGGGATGGCGAGGTCTAATTTGAATCTGCGCGTCGCCCTCACTATGCCGGGCCCCCCAGCAGGCCTCGAAAGTGGCGACAGTTTCACAGATCGCAGCCCCCCAGGGATGGCGGAGTCTAATTTGAATCTGCGCGTCGCCCTCACTGTGCTGAGCCCCCCCAGCAGACCTCGAAAGTGGCGACAATTTCACAGATCGCAGCCCCCCGCAGGCAAGACAGGAGGGTTGGGAAAAAAAAGAAGCCTCAGCTGCTGGAGGCCAGGCGCCTCCCCCCCCTCGCCGACATCGACCTCATGGCGTGGCGGGGCAAGCCTGGCTGGGAGCCCCCTCTCCGGGGCGCGTGGGCCTGGCTGGCTCGCGGCCGAACCGGCTGCGGCCCGGAGAGCACGGGATCCTCTCACGCACGTCGAAGACGGACGGCCTGCTCGGGCGGGTGGCAGTGGGGAGTGACCTCCACGGGGTGACCTGCGTCCGCTCGCTGCTCGTCTTGCTTCTAAGACGAAACCAGGACGAAGATAAAATCGGATGAGGATACATCAAGAATCTCGGAGATCTGGCGGCTCTGGAGGATGTCTCGGGCGCCGCGGCCTTCTCAGAGCGTTCCGGAACGCTCTGAGAGCGTTCCGGAACGCTCTGGAACGGATTTGTCCTCGTCCTGGCCCCGTCCGACGATGGACCCGAACGGGGCCTTTCGGGGATCCTTTTGGGCCCCTGCAAGCTAGAGAGGCCCCTTTCTCCACCCCCAGAGCGTTCCGGAACGCTCTGAGAGCGTTCCAGAACGCTCTGGAACGGATTTGTCCTCGTCCTGGCCCCGTCCGACGATGGACCCGAACGGGGCCTTTCGGGGACGCTTTTGGGCCCCTGCAAGCTACAAAGGCTCCTTTCTCCACCCCCCATGTAGGTCACCCCCCGTTACCACCCGCCCGACCTGCCGGAGATGCTCTGGCCAAGACTCGGCAGATCACCCTTGCGGTCCTCATCTCGTCGGCACGGATCGCCGCTGAGAGGATTGTGCCCAAGCAAGGTGCAGGGGGGCCGCTCAGCCTCACCGGCCATCTCACTGGTCCCGTGGAGCCCAAGGCAGTCCTTGGAAAGCATCGAGGACTCCTCGGAGAGGACGGAGGTGGACTCGGTGTCGCTCGACTGCTTGCCAGCTACCCCGCCGCTGGCCAGCTCCACTCCCGGCAACAACTCGGGCGCCGTGAAGGCACCAGCCACGAGCCGGCGTGACGCGGGGCTGCCCATGCGAGGCTCGGGGATCCGCATGTCCGGCCTCCTTTGGGCGTCGCGTAATGGGAAGGCGATGATAGGGGGGAAGAAAGGTGTACCCTGCGGGCTCTGAAAGCCCCCCCTCCGAGTCCGAAAGGGCCTCCTATAGGGCCCTGCAGAAACCTTCTTCAAAGGCCCCTTTTCTGCAGCCCTCGCTGCCCCCCATTTACCGCCACCTCATGGCGCGGCGGCCAACTCTTGGAGGCCTGGAAATTGGCACCAACACCAGCACAGGGGGTTGCCTCCACATGGGGAAGATGATCCTAGATTTCGGTGTTGGTGGTAATGCTTCGGTCACCTTTCAAGCCAAAGCATTACCACCATCACCGAGATCAGGATCGTCTTCCCTCGGTGGAGGCACACCGCCGATCTTGGTGTTGGTGTCAACCTCTAGGCCTGCGAAACTCCTCATATAGGGAAGGTCTTCGAGAGTCGCAGGTGCCGAACTCGGAGGAGGCTGGAGCGCACGGGGCCTGCGGATCTGCTCGGGGCCGAGGCCGCCAGGGCCAGGGCCCGACACGGCCCCGCCGCGGCCCACTCCGAAGGGGCGCCCGCGGGTCAGCCCGGGAGTCGAGGGCTGCCTCGGTGCGGGCGCCACGCCGGATGCCTCCGCCCATGCCAACGCTGGCCTCGGTCGCTGCTCGCTGACAAGAGGGAGACCGTCGCCCGCAAAACTCGGCATCCCTGCGGTGCCTGGAGTGGCCATGCTGCAGTGTTGCGCAGGGTGCTTCGCCCCAACTGGTCGCCGCTGGGCTGCCTCCGGATCGTAAAACAAATCTTGGCCCAAATGCCAAATGCTGAGCCAAAAACGGCTTGAGCCAAGTTTGGATACGGAGTGCAATCTTTTGAGCGGTGTTGGGAGGACGCTGGGGCCCCTGGAGATCTCCGAAGTATCATGGTGGACTATTGGTCCATCTTTGACACCTCGTGGAGTGCGTTGTGGCCCCTCTGACTATGGGGAGACGTGAGGGGGCACAGGCTCACGGGGGGAACCTCGATATGGAATTGGCGATACATCGTTCCTCATCCTCCTCCTCCTCCTCCTCCTCCTCCTCCGCCGCCTCCTCCTCCTCCTCCTCCTCCGCCTCCTCCTCCTCCTCCTCCGCCTCCTCCTCCTCCTCCTCCGCCTCCTCCTCCTCATCCTTCTCCTCGCCGACAGATCAGCGACCAGCCCCTGGTAGCGACACTGGACGGTCCCGAGCGGGGCGGGCCCTCGGGCCCCTGTCGGCGATCCATTGGGCGATCGGGGGTCGATGCATCCCCCCCCTGGGCGTGTCCCCCCGACTGATGCCCCTGAAGGAGGAGGAGGAGGAGGAGGAGGAGGAGAAGAAGGAGGAGGAGGGAGGAGAAGGAGGATGCGGGAGGAGGAGGAGGAGGAGGAGGAGGAGGAGAAGGAGAAGGAGAAGGAGAAGAAGGAGGATGCGGGAGGGGGATGCGGGAGGAGGAGGAGGAGAAGGAGGAGGAGGAGGAGGAGGAGGAGTGTTGCCCCTGAGGAAGGACCAAGGGGCGTCGTGTTAGGCACCGCGTGCAATCACGAATGGAGCCTCCCACGGGAGGGGGCAGCTCCAAGGCGGACCCCAAGGAGGACCCCAAGGAGGCTCTCTGTTGGGCCCTTTTGAATCTCGCATGACTGTCATAAGCCCGAAGCCTTCCTTGTTTCTCTTGGCGCCATGTTTGGCTATTTCGGCATGTCGCTGGGACCCTCTTTTGGGCAGCCTTCGAGCACTCAGAAAGCCAGCCATCTGAGATCGTGTTGAGACGAATGTCCGAAGAAACTAAAATTAGGTCGGGCATGTCCTGCTACAGGCGGGTTTTCGTAGAAAAATCCGCCGACCCCTTGGGGTCATGAGTCACGGCGTGTGAGATGCTCGCCCCTCCCCAAACCCTTCCCCCGGGAGCCCGGTCTGGCCGGTTTGAGGGGGGGGGGCGGGTAAAGGTGCAGGCCGCAACCTTGGAGCCCCAGGGGGCCCCAAAACGGGCCAAGAGGGCCCAAAAAGGCTTCCCGGACGGTCCAAGAGGGCTACGAGTCGCCGAAAGATCCGCCCAAGACGCTCAAGATTGCCTCCGGACGGTCCGAAAGGCCCCGAAGACGCCCCAAGAAGCCACCAAGAGGCGTCCCAAGAGGCCCTCCAAAAGCAAAAACCTTCCCATTCCCGAAGGAACACATACATTTTTAGCACATTCGCCTCTTGGACTTTCACGAGGCCCACAACGGCCCAAGAAGATTTCAAGACCGACCCAAGACAGCCCAAGAGGACCCCGAGAAGGCTCCCAGACGGCCCAGCAGGGCCCAACGACGGCCCCAGAAACCCCCAAAACGGCCCAGGAGGGCCCCAGGACAGCCCCAGGATGAAGCCCAGAGGGGGAACCCCAATGGACATGTCGAGCACTCGGCCCCGAAAAAACCTGAGGAGGCGGCAAGTGGCCCCCTAGAGGCTCCCACGAGGCCCCCGAGAGGCCCAAAAGATACCCCCAGAGGTCTCAACACGTCTCTCAAGAGGCCTCAAAAGTGCTGCCAGGAGAACCCTGGGAAGCCGAGCCGCGATCCGCCAACCGCCCCCGACAAAATCCCAAGAAGCTCAAACCCCAAGATTCCCCCAAAAATTGCGCGCGTTCCGCAAACTCCGTTTTTCAATCTTAATGCAGCCCCCAGGGATCGGCGATGCGGAGTCAGCCAATGAATACAACATTGTCAAACATACAAAAGGATATCCAACAAAAGTGGCAAAAGCGTCCCCTGATTGTATCCCAACGACATTGTGGTACTGGGCCCTCGCTTTGAAGTGGCAGCGCCATGCGCTCCTCCTGTCCTCTCCTCTCCTCTCCTCTCCTCTCCTCTCCTCTCCTCTCCTCCTCCTCATCCCCCTCTTCCCTCTTCCCATCATCACCATCATCATAAACAGCAACATCATCATCACCGTCGTCATCAACCTCATCATCATCATCAGCAACTTCAACAGCAGCATCAGCACCATCAGCAGCATCCTAATCATCAGCATCATCATCCGCATCACATCAGCAGCATCCTAATCATCAGCATCATCATCCGCATCATCAACAGCGTCACCATCAGCATAATCGTCGCCATCGCCATCAGCACCAGCATCAGCATCAGCACGCACCCGCAAAAGCAGCAGCATCAGCAGCATCATATGCATCCGCATCACCGTTAGCAGCAGCATCATCAGCACCATCACCATCAGCATCAGCAGTCTCTTCATCATCAGCGGTAGCGTCCCAGTGGCGCAGCTCGCATGCGTCTCCCACACCCAGTGCAGCCCTTCGTGGCCCCATAGGGAGTTCCACCTAAGGTCCCAGTGGCGCAGCCCGCATGCGTCTCCCACACCCAGTACAACTGTTGAAGTAGAGGTCCTTGTCCCTCGCAAGCGCGCGAATGGCCAAAGGGGCCCCTTCCCGACGCGGCCAGAGGCCCCGTGTAATAGCCAAAACGGCGGCGGGGGAAAGGCAAGAGAGCATGCCAGCGCCGATCATCAACAACAACGCTTCGTGGCCCCGTAGGGAGCCTCACCGAAGGTTCCGGAAGCGAAGCCCACATGCGTCTCCCCCACCCAGTGCAACCTTTCGAGGCCCACAAGGGAGCTCCACCAGAGATCCCAGTGGCGCAGCCCGCATGCATCTCCCACACCAAGTTCAACTGTTGAAATAGAGGTTCTTGCCCCTCACAAGCGCGCGAATGGCCAAACGGACCCCTTCCCAACGCGACCAGAAGCCCCGTGTAATAGCCAAAACGGCGGCGGCGGCGGAGGCAGGAGAGCATGCCAGCGCCTATCATCAACACTGGCTATGACCTTTCCTCGGCCTCGAACCCCGCCCGCCCAGTCCCAGATCTCTGTGACCCCGGCGCTGCGTGGCGGCCCCTACATGCGAGACCTACGAAAAGCATGGATCCGCGAGGCTTCTGCTCGCACGACCAAGTCACCGGCCGCTCACATGGATTCGCGAGGCCATTGCTCACGCGACTGGGGCCGCCAGCCGGCAATTGGGCGCGCACTTTCGGGGCCCGCCTTTTCTTCGCCCGCGGCTCAGACAGGACTCCGCGCAGGCTTCTTCATCATCGTGTGCCCGCTCTGCATCGCCATCGTGCTGGATGGCGACGTCGCGGGAACTCCGTTCCTCGGCGCGCCGCGCCATCGCCCTGGCTACCTTCGCCCGGGCGTCTACGTCACGCTCCGCGGGGAACCCTGCACCTGCGAACGGACTAGAAATCGCGGCTATACAGATCGCCGCCACGCAAGGTGCGGCCGCTCACCGGCGCTCCGCACTGCGAAGCGTCACCGACGCTCTGCACGGCACCGCCGCGCGTCTGGTGCCCTGACTCCCAGGCGCAGCTCACGCAAGGTACGGCCGCTCACTGGCTCTCCGCACTGCGAAGCGTCACCGACGCGCTGCACGGCACCGCCATGTGTCTGCTGCCCTCGCTTCCAGGCGCAGCCGCGTCACCGACGCGAATGGGCCTAAGCCACCGACGCTCCGCACGGCGCCGCTATGGGCTTGCTGCCCTGACTTCCAGGCGCCGCAGTCCGTAGACGCGCGGGTCAAACCAGCTGCACTGAAGCTCCGCTATCAATGCTGAAGTAGAAGTTCTTTCCCCTCGCAAGCGCGCGATTGGCCAAAGGGGCCCCCCCCCACGCGGTCAGAGGCCCCTGTAGTGGCCAAAGCGGCGGCGGGGGAGAGGCAGGAGAGCATGCCAGCGCCGATCATCAACAACAACGCTTCGTCGCCCCGCAGGGAGCCTCACCGAAGGTTCCGGAAGCGAAGCCCACATGCGTCTCCCCCATGCAGTACAGCGCTTCGTGGCCCCATGAGGAGCTCCACAAAAGGTCCCAGTGGCGGAGCCCGCATGCGATCCCCACCCAGTACAGCGCGTCGTGGCCCCACACAGAGCTCCACCGAAAGTCCCAGAAGCGCAGCCCGCATGCGTCCCCCACACCGAGTACAGCGCGTCGTGGCCCCATAGGGAGCTCCAACGAAGGCCCCAATGGCGCAGCCCGCGTGCGCCTCGCCCACCCGCACAGCGCTTCGTGGCCATATAAAGAGCTCGACCGAGGGTCCCAGTGTCGCAGCCCGAATGCGCCTCTCCTACCCAATACAATGTTTCGTGGCCCCATAAAAAGCTCCACCGAAGGTCCCAGTTGCGCAGCCCGCACGCGCCTCCCTAACCCAGTACTGCGTTTCGTGGCCCCACAGGGAGCTCCACCAAAGGTCCCAGTGGCGCAGCCCGCATGCGTCTCCCCCACCCAGCACAACGCTTCTCGTGGCTCCACACGGAACCCCACCGAAGGTCCCAGCATCGCAGCCCGCATGCGTCTCCCACACCGAGTACAGCGCGTCGTGGCCCCATAGGGATCTCCACCGAGGGTCTCAGGGCGGGCGACACAGGCGTTGTTCGCCGTCTGAGCATTGCCCGGCATTGATGGAAAAGCAAGTAGCTCCTCCCTTTCACCAACCTGCATAGCATCGGCGAATGGGTTGTAGCACGGCCGGCACGCCGGCCCCTTCTCCCGGCGAGCGTTGTGGCCCGCATCTCGCCCGCGAAGGGGCATGCGAGGAACGCCGCGACGCCTGGTCGCGGCCGCGCAGTCAAACGCCGTGCGATCCCAATCACTGTCACCATCGTTGCTCGAGTCCTGTCCATAGGACGACTCCGATTCTTCATCTGGCGTGCACGTTTACGTGCACCATTCTTGGAAGTCTTTCAACGCATCCTCATCCACCTGGCCTTTCCCTTGTAAGGCAGCCGCTGCCATCATGCAGGTCGGCGCCGGTCGAGGCACGTCGATGCCAATAGCCCTTAAGAAATCTGTATTCGGGCCTGGGTCCTCCAAGCCATAGAAACCCTTCTGCTCGGCTTTGTATTATCCAATGAGTCTCTTCCCTTCAGATCCACTCGTCTTGAACCGTCGGTCAGGGTGGGCGCCCGGATTAGTAGACTCCTTCTGCGTGCGCCGGAGGACAGCATTTCCGCATACTTCATCATGCACGGCCACCTCGCTAGGCCTCCTGTAGTAAGTATCGTAGAAGAATACCACGCGAAGGTGCGCCGTCTTCTGCTTGCTTTTTAAGGGGGGGCGGTTTCGTAAGCTTCTCAACGGATTTTCCTACTACCACAGCATTCTTCTCGTAGTACTCTCCCGTGTCCAGGTTTTGCGTTCTTCTTGCCATGACCAATTCAATATTTGGTCCTCCCCTTGCGGGGGCCGCAAGGAAGTTGGTCTGCCTGGCAATGATGACTTCCGTCTCGGCGAGGTTCTCGCCGATCCTTACCGCATCGAATTCCACTCTCCTGCGCCTGGCGCCAGGCGGGAGCTCTGGGTCAGGCGGCGGACCCGACGGTCCTTCGTCATCCGTCGGATCATGGCCAGCCAAGGCTTCGTCCGCTCGTTCGCCATTGGCGCGAGGCCCAACTCCCTCCATTCCGAGTACGTCTGGCGTGTCCGGGGCTGGCATCGGGCCCTCGCGGGAGCCAGACGCCCCCCACCCAGATTTCGCATGCGGTTTCTCCGTTTGTTCTTCCGCGGCATTCCCGCCCGATAGCAGAGTTTCAAGCGCGACGCTGCTAATGTTCGCGGCAGCCTTATCATAGGCGCACCTTAGCGGGAAGTGCACAGGGGAATCCTTGTCGACATTGTCGATGACCCCATCGGGAGAGTCGACGTCCATTTGCTCCACGTCAGTGTCGGTCCACACCTGTTCCGTTCTCTCCACGATGGGTCTGCTGCCGTCTGCCTTCATGCCAGTGGTAAAGTTCAGCCCTTCGAGTTGTGCCAAGAGCATGCCGTAGTGGTCAGGGCCAACGCGCCCCCCCGCATGCTGTACATAGCCGAAGTAAATGCCCACTCGTGTTCTTGGGGCCATTTTCGACTGTTTGATTCTAGGTTCTGGCGGTGGCATGTATCGGACAGCGGATCCGAAAGGACCCAGCGGGGCGTTGAAGGGCCCGCCGAATCTCAACTCCCACGGAGTTTTGCCGTTCTCCTCATGCGTAGCATTAGAGCATGTGCAAAAGAACTGCGCTGGTAGTCCAGCAGTCATGAGTCATGGGCAAAGTTCTGGCTCCGTCCTGAACGACGCCACTGGCGCGCTCTGCCACGGAATTACGTTTCTTTTTCGCCGGCTGAGTGGAGTCATGTGCTATCCGCCGGCCCCCTTGTGGGGCCACCAGGCTGTAGGCCCGTGATTCGCAGTTTCCTGTACCAGTCGTAGGTTGTAGTTTCCAGTGTTACAGTTTTGCTTCTTGCTGGTTACTGTAACTAGTTGATTCATTGCTGGTTACTGTAACTAGTTGATTGACCGCGCGAAGGGGGGGGAGGCCCAAACCGGCTTTTTAGCACCCCCTGGGCGCGTTGTCTGGATTGCTGGGGGGGCTCGAAATCGACACCCCTCACGCAGATCCGCGGGGTCAGGGTCCAAAAACACATCGGAGTTGCCACATTTCTGAAATTCAGTGCCACCCCTCACGCAGATCCGCAGGGTCAGGGTCCAAAAACACATGGGATTTGCCACATTTTTCAAATTCGGCGCCACCCCTCACGCAGATCCGCGGGGTCAGGGTCCAAAAACACAGGGGATTTGCCACATTTCTGAAATTCGGTGCCACCGATCACGCAGATCCGCGGGGTCAGGGTCCAAAAACACAAGGGATTTGCTACATTTCTGAAATTCTGCGCCACCCCTCACGCAGATCCGCGGGGTCAGGGTCCAAAAACATAGGGGATTTGCCACATTTCTGAAATTCGGTACCACCCCTTACGCAGATCCGCGGGGTCAGGGTCCAAAAACACAGGGGATTTGCCACATGCCACCCTTCACGCACATCCATCGCAAGGCGTGGTAACCCAAACTGCGAGAACTCCCTCGGCCTTTTAATCGCAAGGTGTGGTAACCAAGCCCGTAAACCATACACGTCTTACCAATCGCCAGGTGTGGTAACCCCTCTTGTGATCAGTTGGTTTTGCTGATTGCGAATCGGCTTCGCATGAAGTTTCGATACTGCTTCACGACAGCGCAAAGGCCTCATGACTTAGCTCTTCCATGGCCCATTCTCTGAGAGAGGGGGCCGGCGGCAGGGGGCCGCGACGCGCGAAGCGAGATTATCTCTTCGCCCCCGCGGGCCCCGCGGGCGACCTAGACCCCCTCCTCCCAACCGCTAGCGCTCGCTTCACGACGAGCACGGAGGAACGCACGTGCGGCGCGGGTGGGGGACAAGCAGATGCTGATTCCGCTACTCCACGGGCATCTCCTGGCGTGCGTTCTGACAAGTAGCTCGAGGCGCAGCGACCGACGAGGGCCTGCCGGGAAGCCCACAGAAGGCCGAAGCCAGCGAAGAGCAGCGGCATCGGTACATTTTACCTCCCCCGTGGAGGGCGGCGGCGGCAACTGGCCCTGATCCGAACTGCCGCCCATACGGCGGGTGCGGGTACTCTGTTCCGTGTTATTGGCCGGCTGGTCCGAGGGCAGCAGCGGGGGGGGAAGAGGGAGGAGGAGGAGGGAGAAAGGAAGAGCGGGGAAAGGGAAGATGAGGAGGGGGAGGAGGGGGAGGAGGGGGAGGCGGAAGTAGGAGGGAGAGAGGGGGAGGAGGAGGAGGAGGAGGGAGGCGGAGGAGGAGATGGGAGGGAGGAAGGAAGGAGGAAGAGGATGAGGAGGTGGAGGAGGGAGGATGAGGAGGGAGGAGGAGGAGGAGGGGAGGAGGAGGTGGTAGGCGCGAAGGGTCGGAGGCTGCGTAGGGGAGGTGAGGAGAAGGAGGAGGGAGAGGAGGGGAGTGAGGCGGAGGGATGAGGAGGGCTCAGGAGGAGGGGCAGGCGGATGTAGATGGGGAGGGGGGGGCGAGGAGGCGGTGCGGGGCCTCTTCTCCATGAGGCGGTTTACGTCGTCCAGGCGGAGCTGCGCAGCCCTCCTGCGCCTCTCGGCGTCCTGGATGCCGCGCCGGATGCGCTCCTCCAGCTTGCCCTGGCGGCCCGGGCCGCAGACAACGCCACGGAGGGAGAGAATACGCGAGGGGAGTGAAACAAGAGGGGGAGGAGGAGGAGGAGGAGGAGGAGGAGGAGGAGGAGGAGGAGGAGGAGGAGGAGGAGGAGGAGGAGGAGGAGGAGGAGGAGGCAACCGGAGGACGAAGAGGAGGAGGAGGAGGAGGAGGAGGAGGAGGAGGAGGAAGAACTGGAGGAGGAGGGGCAGGGACGATTTCCAAACGTCCCTCCACGACTGTACTTGAAAGGGGGCGGTCCGACTCTGCCTCAGGGCGGCCCTCGATACTGCACCGCACCCCCCCAGCGAGACCAGAGGCGTGTGCCCTGGCCTCCAGGGAGGCCAGGAAAAGCGGAGGGGCCACGAGTCCCACAAGCGGAGTTCGAGCCTCGGACGTCGTGTTCTCTTCAGTCCATGGGTCGTCGTGGGGGGTGTCGTCGGTCGGGAAATGCGTCGGAATCGCTGTCGTGTGCCTGACCGAGCCCAGCGCGCTGCGGCTAAAATGGCGAAGGATGGGCCAAAAAGGAAAAGTTTTCGAGGTACACGGGGAAAGCTGCTCATCCCAACAACGGATCTTGACTGTGCCTCAGACGACGCACTTTCTTGCGATGTTTCAACACATGAACTCCTGTGCTCTTCATGCCGCACAACCACATGCCGCGCGCTGCCTCCAGAAACACTCCCGCCTCACACGACGAGCACGGCTGTGGAAGGAGGGGAGGCTTCAAGGAAACGTCCTCCCTGGCATGGGGGAACCGGGTCCTCAGAGAAGCGGATCCTGGACCCGCTGGGGCTCTCCGTGCGAAACGCTGCAGAGCACGGCGGCCCTCCCTCCTCCTCCCTCCCCCTCCCTCCTCCTCCTCCTCCTCCTCCTCCTCCCTCCCTTCTCCTCCTCCTCCCCCTCTCTTCCTCCCCCCCCTTCCATCCTCCCCCTACTTATTCTTCCTCCTCCTCCTACCCTCCTTCCCTTCATCCTCCTCTTCCTCTCCTTCCTCTCCTCCTCCTCTCCTCCCTCCTCCTCCTCTTTCCTCCTCCTCCTCCTCCTCCTCCTCCTGCCTCCTCTCCCCTCCCCTCCTCTCCGCCCTCCTCCTCCGCCTCCTCCTCCTCCTCCTTCCTCCTCATCATCCTCCTCCCTCCTCCTCATCCTCCTCCTCTCTCCCCTCCCTCCTCCTCCCCCTCCTCCTCTCCCCCCACCCCCCCCCCTTCCTCCTCCTCTCCTCCTCCTCCTCCTCATCCTCTTCCTCCTCCTCCTCCTCCTCCTCCTCCTCCTTCCTCTCCTCCTCCTCCTCCTCCTCCTCCTCCCTCCCCTCCTCCTCCTCCTCCTCCTCCTCCTCCTCCCTCCTCTCCTCCTCCTCCTCCTCCTCCTCCTCCTCCTCCTCCTCCTCCTCCTCCTCCCCTCCTCCTCTCCTCCTCCTCCCCTCCTCCTCCTCCTCCTCCTCCCTCCTCCTCCTCCTCCTCCTCCTCCTCCTCTCCTCCTCCTCCTCTCTCCTCCTCCTCCTCCCCTCCCTCCTCCTCCTCTCCTCCTCAGGACGAGTTCCCACCCAGGCCTTTAGGGGAGGGCTCTGACCGTTCCTCGGCAACCCCCGTCTTTCCCTTCGTGGAGGGGGTTTTTACCCCTCCCATTTGCCCCTCCCCACCGACCTGGACGAGGGGTTCCCCAAGACGAGGTTGTCATCCTTCATCGTTCTCTGAGAGTCTCAGGGCCCGTGCAGGGCCCCGGGAAGTCAAAAGCGGCGAACAAAATCCAGGACCTGTTTCCCTCATACCCACTCCCACAGCGAGAGGAGGCGTCTCCCACAGCTGACAAATATGGGGGGGGGGGTAGGGAGGAGGAGGAGGAGGAGGAGGAGGAGGAGGAGGAGGAGGAGGAGGAGGAGGAGGAGGAAGAGGAGGAGGAGGAGGAGGAGGAGGAGGAGGAGAAGGAGGAGAAGGAGGAGGAGGAGGAGGAGGAGGGGGGGAAGGGGGAGGAGGAGGAGGAGGAGGAGGAGGAGGAGGAAGATTGTAACGGCTGTCGTTTAAGGCACGGGTAATGTTTTACCGCTTCGTGCCCTAACAATCGTGGCATGCCATGTTCAATTCCAATTCCAAATCGAACACCAGAAAGCACTGACCTATCTGCAACCTAAATCATGCCACCCTGGGTGGTGCATACGGTTTGATATGAAATGCTAATTCAGCTGGGGTGCAACCTGGAATGCATGAGTAAGGTCCCCTGCCTGACACTGCCACCTATGCCCCGCGTGCAACTGCGGAGACCCCAGGCCTGCTACGGCCTACTATGGTCTGCGAACTATCAACATGTCAAAGCATGAACCTACCTGACCACTCCTCCAAGACGCGGCTGGGGGACGGGGCCAGAAAGAGGAGGAGGTGGAGGAATACGGGAAAGGCGGATAGGATGAGGAAGAGGAGCAATAGGAGGAGGAGACCAGATAACGCAATACCAGACAAGAGGCGCCTCTTCCGTACCAAACACTTCGATCTCCCCCCTCCTCCGATTTACATGGGACATCCTCCAATGCGCGGGGGCTGCGTGTCCCATAACAGGGACTGTACGTCCCATATGCCAGGACTGTGTGCCCCATAGTCGAGACTGCGCGTCCCGTGTGTCAGGAATGTGTGTCACATAGCAGGGACTGCGCGTCCCATTTGCCAGGACTGCGTGTCCCATAACAGGGACTGTGCGTCCCATTTGCCAGGGCTGCGTGCCCCATAATCGAGACTGCGCGTCCCATTTGCCAGGGATGTGTGTCCCATAGCAGGGACTGCGCGTCCCATTTGCCAGGGCTGCGTGTCCCATACCAGGGACTGTGCGTCCCATTTGCCAGGGCTGTGTGTCCCATAATCGAGACTGCGCGTCCCATGTGCCAGGAATGTGTGTCCCATAGCAGGGACTGCGCGTCCCATGTGCCAGGAATGTGTGTCCCATAGCAGGGACTGCGCGTCCCATTTGCCAGGACTGCGTGTCCCATAATCGAGACTGCGCGTCCCATTTGCCAGGGATGTGTGTCCCATAGCAGGGGCTGCGCGTCCCATTTGCCAGGACTGCGTGTCCCATAATAGGAACTGTGCGTCCCATTTGCCAGGACTGTGTGTCCAATAATCGAGACTGCGCGTCCCATTTGCCAGGGATGTGTGTCCCATAGCGGGGACTGCGCGTCCCATTTGCCAGGACTGCGTGTCCCATAATAGGGACTGTGCGTCCCATTTGCCAGGGCCGTGTGTCCCATAATCGAGACTGCGCGTCCCATTTGCCAGGAATGTGTCCCATAGCAGGGACTGTGCGTCCCATTTGCCAGGGCTGCGTGTCCCATAACAGGGACTGCGCGTCCCATTTGCCAGGACTGCGTGTCCCATAATCGAGACTGCGCGTCCCATTTGCCAGGAATGCGTGCCCCATAACAGGGGCTGCGCGTCCCATTTGCCAGGACTGCGTGTCCCATAACAGGGACTGTGCGTCCCATTTGCCAGGGCTGTGTGTCCCATCATCGAGACTGAGCGTCCCATGTGCCAGGAACGTGAGTCCCATAGCAGGGCCTGCGCGTCCCATTGGCCAGGACTGCGTGTCCCATAATAGGGACTGTGCGTCCCATTTGCCAGGGCCGTGTGTCCCATAATCGAGACTGCGCGTCCCATTTGCCAGGAACGTGTCCCATAGCAGGGACTGCGCGTCCCATTTGCCAGGGCTGCGTGTCCCATAACAGGGACTGTGCGTCCCATTTGCCAGGACTGTGTGTCCCATAATCGAGACTGCGCGTCCCATTTGCCAGGAATGTGTGCCCCATAGCAAGGACTGCGCGTCCCATTTGCCAGGGCTGCGTGTCCCATAACAGGGACTGTGCGTCCCATTTGCCAGGACTGTGTGTCCCATAATCGAGACTGCGCGTCCTATTTGCCAGGAGTGTGTGTCCCATAGCAGGGACTGCGCGTCCCATTTGCCAGGACTGCGTGGTGTCCCAAATAGAAAAATCGATAGTGTTCCATTTTGCCAGGACTGTGTGTTCCATACCCATAATCGAGACTGCGAGTCCCAGTTGTTTGCCAGGATTTTGTGTCCCATAGCAGGGACTGGCGGCGTTCACATTTGCCCGGGAGATGCGTGTCCCAAACAGGGGACGCGCGTCCCATTAACTAATCAGGGCTGCGCGTCCCATAGCCCATAGATGGGACTGCGTTGTGTGTGCCATGCGCTGCCCTCTGGGAGGATCCGCCCCAATCGGCCAAGGCCCTAGGGCATGAGGGCTGGGAGGAGGAGGAGGAGGAGGAGGAGGAGGAAGGAGGAGGAGGAGGAGGAGGAGGAGGAGGAGGAGGAGTGAGGAGGAGGAGGAGGAGGAGGAAGGAGGGAGGAGGAGGAGGGAGGGAGGGGCCGGAAGGAACAGACACGGGGGCGGCAGCAGCAGCTGCAGGGGCAAGCACGGGAGGCGCCGAGGGGCCTCGGGAGGCCCCCGAGTCCCCGAAGGTCTCCGCAGAGAGGGGGGGGATGGGGAGGCAGAACGGGAAGGAGGCAGAACAGGAAGAGGAGCGAACTCGCACAGGGCAACTTACGCTCAAGACCGGCGCCCAGACCTTTTCAGGACGCCACCCCGACCAGCTTTCCGAGCCGCGTGCAACCGTGGCCACGGGAGGGCCCCCCGAAGCCCAGAGCCTCCAAAACCTTCAACACCGGGGAGATGCAGAGACTCGAGTGCGGAGGAGGGCGGAGAGGTGGAGGAGAAGTGGCAACCTGCGTGCGCTGGCCAAATCGTCGCGCACAACGTTGCATGCACATGATCACATGATCAGTAGTCAGCGTGGCTCCGAATGCCGCAGGGAACAGAACGCCGGCCCGATGCTGAGGAAAATGGGAAATTCGTGTCGTGTCGACCCTGAGGTTGGTTCCTGACACCGCGGGTATCGTTCAACCTTGAACGACCGGCCGTTCCCGAAACCTCAGCTCGCTCAACATCGACCGATCCGGGATCGCCAGCGACGTTCAGCATTGAACGCCGGCGGCAGGGTCGCTATCGGTCGAAACGACGCGAACCTGCCGTGACTCGTGACTCGTGGCTCGTGGCAGCCCTTCCTCGCCTGGCCACCAGACGTGTCGGTAAGGCGGGCCAGTCGTTTCGCCTGAGACATCCTCCTCTCGACGAGCGCGTTCCACTACTCGCAACGTAACTACTCGCAACTGGCCTGGATCCCCCGCGGAGGATCAGCGATACATTACATCAAAGTAGACACGTGTTTTTGTTTCGGACGTTTGCGAGTAAGGCACTTTGCGAGTAGTGGAACGCGCTCGGCGATCCGCGCGTGGGAACGTGCAGCTCCTTGACTTTTTGCGCCGCGCCCCGCGGGTAGCGGTAACGCTCGGGTGGGGTCGGGCACGTCGGGGCGGGGGGTGCGCTGCGCACGCCACGGTATGCGCCAGAACACAAGCATGATTGATGGGGGGGGTCCAGGCCCTCCCCTGGCCATTTTTTTGTCGCCCCTGCGCCGCCCCGAAGGCACTTCCAGAGTGCCTTCGGCGCGCGCGACCGTGCGCGGCGCCAGCCTTGAACGGGCAGTTTTTGCGGCGGCGACCGCGTGGCCAGGGTGTCCCGCTGCAGGGGTCGTTCGGCCGTCCGCGCCAGGGCGCCCAACTCCGCAAAAACAACTGTACTTGCACTACCGTGCTTCCACCGTCCGAGGCTCGGCGGCCAGCCCTGTGGGAAGCGAGCGGGGGGGCGGGCCTCCTCCGAAGGCTCGGAGGTCCTCGGGCCCCCTGCGAGGTGTCCTCGGCCTTCCTCCCCGCAGGCACCGACAGCACGCCAGAAGGACGGAGGGCTTCGGAGAAGCCCCGCCGCCGTCTGAGAACGCCCGCCGCTCGGACGTCCATTCCCTGTGCTTTTTGTGCAGCTTCGTGCGTGGCTTCTTCGCCAAGTGATCGAGGATGCTCCCCGATGGCCCTCGCCGAACAAAAATGCACCCGTCCGAGCGGTGCCAAGCAGAAGACCTCCTCCCTCTCACGCCCCCCCGCGGCACGCCGCCGAGCTCCGCTTCGGGCCCGCCCTCCCGGCGTGGGCCACGCAGCCACGGGCTGCAGCCGGGCCTGCAGGGCTCACTCTGGGCGCGGAGATTCTGCGCGTCGCGCGCCGCAGTCCAGGCCAGAGCGACTGCCCTTCCTCAAGGGAGCGGCGCGAGAGGGCGGGCGGGTGCGCGCGTCGTCGCGCGCTGCGGGGGCGCAGTGCGCGAAGTTGGGTGACCCGGAATGGCACACGCCAGCTTCCATGCCATGGTGGCGGGCTACAGTCAAACAAGATTCGAGGATGAACATCGGGGAGGCGTAAGACTCGGGTTCGGGGGACTCGGGTTGGCCTGACGGGGCCGTCAGAAAAATAACGAGACCCGGTCTGAAACCTGGCGCGAGCTCCCGCGCGGCAAGCATCCCACGAAAACCGGGCCGTCGAAATCCAGGACGGACTCGTCAAAAAACGTTGGCTAACCCGAGTTCCTTCTGGCGAACTCGAATAATACAGTGGAGGCCCGACCACAAGAAACCCATCCCTGAGACCTCAGGACGTCCATTGATTATCGGTGTGGGAGCGTCACGCCTTCCACAGCAAAACCATCGCAACCCAAGAAACCCAGGGCGCCCTGGAGGCAAGCAGGGTGTTTCTTGGCATGGGCCCCCACTGCCCCCCCCCCCAAAATGATGCCCCGTATACCTCCTCTCCCTCCTGACCTCATCCTCCTTCTTCCTCCCTCCTCCTTCCCTCCTAACTCCCTCCTCCTCATCCTCCTCCTTCCTCCTCCCCCTCCTCACTCTCTCCCTCCCCCCCCCCTCCTCCTCCTCCTCCTCCTCCTCCTCCTCCTCCTCCTCCTCAAAAGTGATAGTACGGACGTGCGGTCAGGCCGCCAGACCCTTGGACGCCCGAGCTCAACTTCTGAGCGGCGCGCGGGAACAACCCGAGCTCGTCTCAGGTCGGGCATGTCCTCTGCAGGAGGAATGTTCAAAAATGTCAGAGAATAGTGCGGGGACGATGTTTGACTACTTTTGCATATTTTTCTGAACAAATTGGCTACTTTCTATTTTTCGCCCAGCATCACCCTGTAGGGGGACAGGCCCGACCGAGAGCTCGTCTTGTGGATGCTACAACAATGGACACCCTAACAGTCCTATCATTGAATTTGAAAATATGTTTGAAATGTAGGAACATGCTTTAAACATGTTGTAGACCTGTCTTCACATGTTTAAAGCATGTTTAAGACATGTTTTAAGCATCTGGACTTTATTTGGCAACATGCTTCCTCTCAGTTGATCGTCCTCCACAAAGCTCGTCGTCGTCCGAGGAGCCGTCGCAACCTGCGCGCCCCGGCCGAAGCGGCGCGGGGGCTGGCCTCGTCCTCGTGCTCCAGCGGCGCCCGCATGGTGATGACCCTGCCGGAGCGAGCCATGGGGAGCGGCAGCACAGGCGAGAGAGGGGGGGGAAGGGGTTGAGCAGGAGGAGGAGGGGAGGAGCAGGAGGAGGAGGAGGAGGACGAGGAGGAGGAGGAGGAGGAGGAGGAGGAGGAGGAGTTGGAGGAGGAGGAGGAGGAGCAGAGAGCAGGAGCAGGAGCAGGAGGAGGAGGGAGGGGAGGAGGAGGAGGAGGAGGATGAGGAGGAGGAGGAGGAGGAGAGCCGGAGGAGGAGGAGGGGGGGGGGAGGAGGAGGAGGAAGGATTGATGTTTTTTTCATTTTTTTTTTAGGGGAGAGGAGGAGGAAGAGGGGGAGGAGGAGCAGAAGCAAAGGCAACGGGCAGCGGCAGCAACAGCAGCCGGGGCAGAACCAGGAGCGGGACAGGGACGACAATGACGAAAAGTTCAACCGAGGAGAAGAAGCAGAAGGACAAGGATGCTGAGGAATAGGCGGTTGAGGAAAGAGGGCGAGGATCAGAACAGGGACACGTAGGATATGATGAGGCGATGAAGACGAGGAAAGATGGGCCAGGCAGAGGATGAGCTCGACCGAGGAGTACAAGAGGATGACGAGGTGGACCAGAACGGCAAAAACGGGCTCTACGCAAATGTTTGTATGTATGTACACCTAGTTATAGGACGAGGAGCTCGACCGGGCAGACGGGTCAGCACAGTCAACCCGTATCGTAAGGATGTGCAATAAGGATGCCAGGACCTTGGATGGCCATGTTCACGTTTTTCGAACGAGGTTGGCCAACGAAAGTCGCTAAGGATGGGCCGAAGGGGCGAGGATGCCAGGGTACCCTTGGGAAGGTTGCCCATCCTTACTATGCCGGTTGACTATAGGAAGATGTTCATCATGGCGAAGATGACGAGGACAGGATGGAAAAGCAAAAGCAGCGGGAGGTGGCGGCGATAGACCGATAATCCACCGCCGAGCCCCCTGGCACGCTGAGGCATGGTAGAGTTCCATGGGCTGTCGGGTAGGGCACTGCATTCTGTCCCCCCTCTCCCGAGGGTCTCTGGGTGCCCTTCGCGTCCTTGGCGCTCCCGACAGCGTCCAACATGTCCCAGATGGCTTCCAGGACGAACCATGCCACCAATATTGCCAGATATGCCTCCAAGGAGGCCCAGGATCGCCCCTGGGCGGCCCACTTTGGCTCGAGGCGGTCAACGGGCCCCCCCTTCCCCAAATCGGCTCAAAGGGCTCCATGAAAACAGCGAGTAGAACTCGAACATATGCTCAAGTCGTGTCCATTTTTGTTGAAGGAGGCTCAAGAGGCCACCAATATGGCCCCACTACGGCCCACGAGGCCCCACGAAAATCACACAACAACCCCAAGATGACAGAGAAAGATGGCCTAAGGAGGCCCCAATACGGCCCAAGAGACCTTTAAGACTACCCTCCAGGGCCTTAAGACGGCCGAGAGAGGCCCCCCAAGACGGGCTCCGAAAGCGCCAGGCTGTACAAAGGCACCCTGCGCAATATGGCCGAAAGAGTCCCCGAAGGCGTCGAGAGGCCCACACCAGGCCCCAAGAAAAGAGAAGGGAAGAACAGGGAGGAGAGAAACGACGACGAACACGAAGAGATACAGCCCGACAAGACGAGGAAATGTCGTGCCACCTTGCATGGCTCTCCCAATCCTCGGGGCACGATGCTTCGCACGTCACGACTCCCTGTGCGCTCCTGCAACAGTCGCCACACAGAGTGCTGTGTTGGCAAGGTGCGGGACTTTCCGCAAGCAGCTGGATAAGGACGCAGAAGGAGAAACACGACGGCAAGATCACCCCCTGCACGCCGACCTTTAGCCCCCCCCCACCACGACACCGTGCCCATGCTCACGAGATCGTCGGGTCGAGAGGCGAAGGGGAACGCATGATACGACAAAAAGGACGGAGAAGGGTCTGCCATGAACTACCAGGGCGGGATGCAGAGACCTCACGACGGAAGGTAATCATTGCTTACCAGCACGGGAATGTAAGGGGTGGGGTGACGCAAGGGTGAAATGGGAACGCTGAATGTCCCACCCTCCTCCTCCTCCTCCTCCTCTTCGTCTCCTTCTTCGCCTTCAGATTCACATATCCTTACTAGTAGCCATAGTATTATACTCCTCAGTATCATCCTCCTTTCTTCCTCCTATCCCCCTCCTCCCCCTTCCCCTCTCCCCTCCTCCTCCCTCCTTCCTCCTCCTCCTCCGTCTCTCCTCCTCCTCATCCTCTCCTGCTCCTCCACCCTCCCACCTCCCGCCTCCTCTCCCTCGTTCTCCTCCTCCTTGTACTTTCCCTCTCCCCCTCCTCCACCTTCCCTCCCCTCCCCCTCCTCCGTCTCCTCTCCTCCTCCTCCTCGCCTCCTCCTTCCCTCCTCATCCCCTTCATCCCTCAGTGTCCTTGTCCTCCTCTCCTCCTCCTCACCCCGCCCCCCTCCTTCCCCTCCTCCGCTCCTCCCTCCTCATCCTCCTCCTCCTCCTCTTCCTCCTGCTCGTCCTCTTCCTTCTTATCCGCCTCCTTCTCGTTATCCTTTTCCTTGTCCGCCTCCGCCTCCGCCTCAACCGCCTCCTCATCCGCCTCCGCTTCCTCCTCATCGTCCTCCTCATCATCCTCCCTCCCTCTCCCCGTCCCCCTCCCCCTCCGCCTCCGCCTCCGCCTCTGCCTCCTCCTCCTCTTCCTCCTCCTCTTCTTATTATTATAGTATTAGTATTATCATTAGTATTGGTACTATTATTAGTATTATCACTACTATTATTACTATTAGTACGACTACGATTACTGTAATCAACATTCCCATTATCATGGTGTTTCGTATGATTCGCATTCTTATTGCTACTAGTATTATTCTTAGTATTACTACTATTATTATATTGTTCTTATTATTAGCATTAGTATGCTCAGCATTATTAGTAATAGTATGACTGATATTACTATCATTAGCATCATCGTTATCATACTAATTATTATCATTATTCGTATCATTTGTAGTCTTCCTCCTCCTCCTCCTCCTCCGCCTTCTCCTCCTCATCCTCCTCCTCCACTTCCTGAGCTCGGTGAGACCGATCAGCAGGACACGATCAACAATGTGGACAAGAATGAGGACGGGCCCATCTGCATGTCGGAATTCATGCGGTGTCGAGCCATTGCTCGGAGGATACGGCGTTCGGCGAGGCGCTGGCGTTCTTCGGAGTGGGCGGGGCCGAGGAGATCGACGCTGGCAGTGTGGTCCTTGTCCTGGGCTTGCTCGGGATGGACCTCACGTGCGATGAACAGATGGGCATCACTGACGACGTGGACTGGAGCGCCGACGGCAAGACGAACCTTCCTGAGGTCCTGCGGGCGCGTCGTGGGTGTCACGACGGACTTCCAGAGGGCGATGATGGCGGGAAGCTCGCAGCACTTCTACATCGGCGGCGCTGACAGCAAGACGGCCAACAAGGCCAAGAATAATAACAAGGAGGACGGGGGCTCCAAGACGTCGGCCGATGACACCACGGAGGGGGCGACGAAACGAGTCATCCTCCAGGGCCTCATCGAGCAGGCGGAGGAACTCCGCAAGAGCGGACTGCTGGACGACGGCCCCGCTCAGGGCGTGCGGAGGTCGCCAATGCCGCGTGCACTTCTTCGTGCCGCTCTTCGGGGTGATCAGCCAAGTCTCAAGGTCACGGGGGTGGATCCTCCTCTTGCCATCGCTCTGACGTCCTCTCCCCGTGCACGTGCCAGCTTCCTGCGCCTACGCTTCGCTGAACGATCCAGGATGCTCCTCGATCGTCCTCGCCGGGGGAAAACAAAACACGTCCGAACGATGCCGAGCCCTCGGCCGTCCCAGCCTGGCCCCGGGGGGGGCTCGGCTGGGGTTAAGTCGGGCCTGTCCCCCTACAGGGGGATTTTTGAAGAAAAATGAAAAATACCCAAACAAAAAATCCAAAAATACTCCAGGGACTATTTTTTGAATCTTTTTTTGACCTTTTGGGTGCATTTTGGGGTATTTTCTGTTGTTCTTCGAAAATCCCTCTGTAGGAGGACACGCCCGACAGACGGCTGGGGCTCGGATGGGGGGGGGCCGAGCCCCACGTGGCCGTGGTGCCGGCGTCGGGGTCGGGCCCTCTGGGGGCCTGGCGCCGCGGGTCGGGCCCTCCTGGGGCTGGGCCCTGGCCCTCGTACGGGCGGTCGTGGCGCTGGGGGATGCACCTGCGCCTGGCCAAGAGCGCGGCCGTCGTGCCGAGCCAGCCCCCAGGATCGGGCACAGTCAGTCTCAGTCTCAGTCTCAGCCTCCTCCTCATCACTTCCTTACTCTCCAGCTCATAATCCTTCTCCACTCGCTCTCTGCGCCACATGCATGGGGCAATATATATATAATATATATTATATATATATATTATATTAACTTCCGCCTCGCCTTGCTCCCCCTTTGACTCCTCATCCTCATCATCCTCATTCCAACCTCATCATCTCTCCACTCACACCTCCTCCTACTGCTCCTACCTCCCGACTCTCATCCGCCTCCCTCACTCCTCATCCTGGAACGCAACTCCAGACCACATACTCCTCCTCCCTCCTGCCTCCCTAATCCTCCTCCGCCGCCTCCTCCTCCACTCCTCCTCCCTCCTCCCTCCTCCTCCTCCGCCTCCGCCCTCCCCCTCCTTTCCTACTCCTCCTCCTCCCCTCCTCTCCTCCTACTCCTCCTCCTCCTCCTCTCCTCCCTCCTCACTCCTCATCTCCTCATCCTCCTCCCACAAATCATTCCTCCACCCCCTCTATGCTGACCCTGACCCTGCCTTCTTAGACCTCGCCTGGAGTGCGTTCTGACCAAGATTCCCATGTGAATCCAGCCGTGGCGACAAAGGCCCCCCTCAGGAGGCCCCACAATTGTGAAAAAGTGTCGAAGTCCACCGCATCCTCGTGCTGCCCCTACGTTATCGGGGTGCTAGTGCCACCCTTTTCCCCAAAAGTTCGAAAGGCTTCGAAATCCACATCATCATCATCATCATCCTGCTCCACCTGCCTTATCCAGCCGACGCTGCTAGAATATTTTGGACGCCCGAACTGGGTACGGAAAGAATGGGCACGATGCCCAACAACAAATGTTGTCCCAAACCAACAGCGGCCGCTGTTGGGCAGGCGGCCTTCTGTCTCAAA